GAATCCCGCCGAATGCCGCGAGTTTTTTTCACAATTGGGTCAACTAAATTAAAAAATGTCATAGAATCACCAAAGTTAAGGTTTACGCGATATCTGCATCCGTTATGGAGACAGGTCAGTTTTCAACTTCTCCATTTCCGTTTCTTCACACGTGAGGCAGCGCGCTAGGAATGAGAGTACTGAGTGGTGATATGCCGGTATACGGCCGATGTACAGCTAACGTTTAATGCAATGAACAAAGACGAATAAGCCTGATATGATTTTAAGTGGTATAGAAGCTTTGCCTACCCAACGGTTTTCGTAACTTTCCCTTCATTTTGACGTTTCTCAGATGTCACCTAAAACCGGAACACGCATGTAGACCCTACGATCACGCTTGTCTCCGAGACCGTCCACTTCTAATTCAGAGTTACCACATTGAGCTGGTAGCACCAATGAAAAAGGAACAGCTGCTGGCTGAAATTGATTCAAGCATTGTCGTCAACGGAACAGTCCGAGCTGAGCTAAGGGTACACTATGCTTACCAAATGCGCAGCAATATTCATATGAACATCGAAGATGCCTTCAAGGTATTTATTATTTACGTTTGGATTTGCAAGATAACATTTCACGCAAGTTCTTGAAACCGCGAACGGCTAAATTTGAACGTAAAAATAACGCCTACTCACAATTTTTAATTACGCATATTATTTGTGATTAAAAATGCTGCCCTCACTGCCCTAGTAGAATGCTACCCTAGCCAGCGGATAAACAATTTTATGCAAAATCACTTGACTATCTTGCCAATTAATTTCAGCTTCGACTCAAATCACCCACTTCGCGCTTCGTTGATGTCATCCGCTTGAGACCTCTAGAAGCACCGGCTGACCTCCTAATTTCAGCAAACCTCTTGTCAGTGCGTGGCAGACAGCGGACACTGAAATCTGTAACAAAACTGTACATTTTTACAGCAGAGACAGCAGCACAGCAGGCAGCTTTTGAACGACAGCAGCGTCGACTTCTACGTGGTCGCGGCCTCTAGAGGATTTGGAACTGAGCAACCGCAATTACCTGTTTCAAGTGCACTTGAATAACTACTTTACTGCACCTCTGCGGCGAATAATGCATGGTCTATTTCCAAAAGCACATAACAGCCTCGTTCCTGTTCCCAACCACCTGACGACACTATTCTTTGACATTACCGAGTTAGAGCAGTCTTACTCAGTAAAGAAACATTGCATACACTTAATTTCATCCGCAGTGAACACGCTGAGGGGAATGGTCAGTAATGTTTTATCTTAGAATGCTTTTCTATACAAATCACCTATATTCAGTTCTTAATAGAATTTGAGAATAATGCTTTGTTTACGAGTAGATCCAAGAGAGGATGCTGATGCTGCAATTTTGAGCTTTTGCGTTTGCACGTAAACCCGGTTTTTATCGCTGTATTCATACGCGACCTTTGAAAGTCCTTGTGGATGAAGATATAATAGTTCTCTTTGAAGACCTCAGCTGATACATATCGGCTCCAGGTTCCCCTGGTTTATGTAGGGCCTCCCACATTTATGCACGCTATAAAATGCAAGTTAAGTAAATTTCCGTGTTCGATGCAACACAAAACAATGGAAAACCGTCTTTACTTATCCCTTTAGATAACAAAATGAAATAATGGCTGTTTGCCTTGAGTCTATCACCGACGTTGTACTAAAAAAGTGGAATCAACAGTTTTGTGGATAGGGCGCTGCATTTTATCATCCAGTTTACCATCCAGGTTTTATTGAACCGGATCTGCGGTGTGTTTGACTGTAGCAGTACATAAACAAAAACTGATCATCTTAAGGGTGACGGCAAGTGAAGTTAAGTGAAGTGAATATAATGTGATTATATAAAATGAATTAATTAATCCTATTTTCTTCTCACCAATAATGATGAAATAAAGATCGTAGGCTAAAAGTTTGCCAACTGGCCTGATAACTCGATTCTTCTGCGTACTGGGGATTCACTGTAAGGCATAATGTTATACCTGCCTTATTTTTTCAGACATCTCTAGGCTTCGGTATAGCTTTTAGCGAAGATTTCTGTTGATTAGTTCCAGAAGTTTTACATAATCAGTCAAGTTCCTCACACTTCATGATTTACAGGTACCTATAAGTCAGACCCTGATTCTTCGAACTCATAGGTAAGGGTTTTGACTATACTTTTCCTGAATAGATGACGTATGCTCACTCTTGTCAAAGTGGGGTCTCCAATCCCCTGAAAATACCATATGTTCTTGCTTAATTCCACGGGTATATGATAGAAAGCACTCAAAGTGAGCTTCTGATTACGAAATTTATCTCAAAAATAACATTTGATTTAACTTGAACGTAGGTAAAATACGCGCGGCCTAAAATAATCGGTTGTACTCCTGGACACAGGAATAGAAAGTGCCCTGTCCATCATAATGAGAATGGTCTCATGAAGATTACGGTAAGGGTTAACATTAGGGCTGTTGTGATGCTTAGGCATGGATTTTGGGTTTCAGGTCGGGGATAATGCTAGGATTGGGATAAGAACACGAAATTATGTGGCTTCCTGAAATTTACCGGTGTCCTAAGGGCGTTAGTTGGTGCTATCATTTATGATGGAAATACTACGGAAGAGATACTCAAACTGGAGCCTCAGACACACTGTTATGTAAACCGAAGGTTGATCGGACGTGGAAATAGCTTGCTTATTGACTTTTAACCTTGTATTCTGAAACGAGTCCGAACACTCCGTTTATCGATGGTTCTATACAAATCAGCTGTCAACTGCGAACGGCGAATTCAAATCATGAAACGCTATTAGTCATTGAATTTTGTTAAAACGCAGTTAGCTTTATTCGGTCTCAAAAAGGCATGGTCTCGCACAGAAGAAAATGAATATTTGTGAAAAGTTACACCGTAGGCCTGCATCTAGCGTATTTTGATGTTTTAATATAAGTAAGGCATCATTTGTCTTGGAGACTTAAAATAATATGCATCCGTTTAAAAAGCCGTGGACTCTACTGATGTTAAAAAGTCGTTTTTTGAGAGCGCTAGTCTAATGATGAAGCATTTAAAAACAAAAAAACATTTCCCCCATTTGGAGCTATACTTTTTGAATTAATACGAGCTCCGAGGTCCTCATTCCATAGTCACGCACTGCGCTAATTTGCATTTGCCTTTCGGGATTTTGTGTGTAATTTGGCGCTTGGTTCATGCATACTTGCCTCGACCTACCAAAAGAGCTATGTTGTCGTGACGTACAAATTAATTGCGGACTAGTTTTCAAAGCAGATGTTCGTAATCGTTTATATTTGTACGATAAAAGGTTACCTTTTGTCTACTACTTTACGTGACCTTACAGACAAATGCACCTTGTCATTGATGCTATTTCTGTTTCTACCATTAGAAAGCGCCCAGAGTTTTTTAAAAGTAAAAATGCCAAATCGCCATAGTGATATGTAATTTTGAATACAGTTGTTTTTGTAAGGTGTGTGAGTAGTTTTATTGTTTCGTATAAACTAGAAGGCAGGCATCCCAAGAAATTTGACTTCAAGGAAAGACGTCCTTGGGAAAATGAGTAATTTTATTCAGTAAATTTTCGACACTGGATCCCCAGGTCGTCGTCAGACTTGAGAGAACTGTGCAATGAACAGTTAGCATTTTAAAGTGCTGGTACAGTTATAGAGTCATCTGATGTGGGCGTTAATTGGGAA